ATATTCAAGGTTGTTTTTGTTTTGTTTTTTAATAAAATTATTTAGCGTATGATTTAAAAATACATTATATTTTCACTTATGATAATTAATAGATTATTACATTGAAATAGCATTTATAATTATCAAAATTAACATGCTGTTATATTTAAATTAAATAAGTTTGTCAGAAAACAGTTAAGTTGTTAAGTAAATGCTGTTCAATAGTTGAAATAATAATTACAGTAAATTATGTTTTATAAAATAATTTGAGTACAGTTAGTGCCATTATAATTTAAAATTTATAATAATTAAGTATAACATTTGTTATTAACAATCTGTATGTTCAGATTAAATATACATTACTATAAGCTTACAAATGTAAAAATTTATTTATTTTAAAATACATGCTAAAAATAGCAAAGAATAACCATATAAGTTACGTAAAGCATTTTAAAAAGCATATATTGTTTTTAACAAGATTATTACACTTTGTCATATTTGCTATGACTGTGCATGATAGCTTTATTTTTTGTGTTTGGCAAACCTAAATTTAAATTATGCCCACTGAACGCATTGGTCTTATACTGGGTTGTAGGCATGTACATTTTCTCTGCACTGGGACATTGCCAGAAAATTAAATGGGCGTATATTAGGGCCATAATCACTATATAAATTATGCCGATAACTTGTCGAATTGTAGTAGGTTCATAGTTTCCCATTAGTAAATAACCGATCACAAGTGGAATTAAAAGCAACATGATGATAATTAATAACATAGGCCACTCATAGTAGGTCACCACCAGACAACATACCATGATTATAATAATTGCCAAATTAGTTGCCACATGTAATGCCACGCCTGTATATAAGTGTTTATATTATTATAATTAACAAACGAGTTAAACGTTTTAGTGTAAACAATAATTTACATGCTACCATTCTCAATTTTCATTGTTTAATATTATAATTATATACATATAAAAATCAATGGACATACCTGATTTATCAAACATGCGATAAATATTAATCTCGTCATTGACAGTCTGGCTGTTGTCATACAATCCTATACTGGTAGCAGTTTCACCATGGTTGTATGACACAAAATTGGCCAGAGCAAACACGATCTGGCAGACATAAGCTACCATGAGCAAATATTTTATACACACTGTAACAGAGCGTATTTTGCCAGACATGTTTAGTCTGGCACCAACAAACTGCTCCGGGTATAAATATAATTTAATAGTAGATAATTAAGTTTTATGCAACAATTCTTTAGATTCTGCGCTCAAATTCTGGTTCATAAAATGTTTGAATGCATTACCATTGAGAATAAAGTGTAATGCTATTCATGTTTTAAACTTTGAAATAGTTACTGTATAAGTGGTCATTTAAATGTTATAAACTAAATAAGTAGCAATTAAATTAATTTGCATAAAATAATATAATGTGTTTATCATTTACGATAATTGAGATATCGTCCGTAATCAATTTTAATTAAAATCAGTAACATACATTAAAAGAGTTTTGTTAAAATATCATTCATGATGATAAGATAAATATAAAATAGGAAAATATACATTTACCATATGATTATTTATTATCATATTTTAATTTATAAATTTATTGAAATATTAATATTTACATTTGATAAGTACTGTATAATTGTATTATAATGTTTATAAATTTAAAATCAACAAGCAATAATTTTATATTTAAACCATTAAAAAGCTATAACAAATTGTCATAATATAATAAGGATTTTGTGTAATAAAGTCTATTTTACGGAATTAAATTATTATATGGTTATAAATATTTAAAAAATTAATGTCTGAAACGCCACAAAGTGCCAAATGGCCTGATATAATCAATCGCTAATTTGTCACATAATATACAATAAAACAAACTAGTTGGGTTAAATCGCATATTAATAAATTATTAGGCACAAAGTATATGCAAAACAAGTCCACCAACGCCAGTATCCATGAGATAAGTGCTCCCACAAAACTAAACGCCGAGCAGTCATAATAGGCCACGTAAATTAAATATAAATTTGCCTGAATCATTATCACAACAAGTATTACAGCGTGCCATATGCCATGTACATAGTATAAGAGCTAGTATGGGCGCAATAAAAAAAATGCATTATAACCACTCATTTTTTACATTGAAATTTACACTCAGTGTAAATTTAGCCCTTACTAGTATAAGAGTATGCTATGTAAACTAGCTGAAAATAGTTAAAAAAAAGGTAGTTAATTGTTAGTTAAATATTTTGTCTTAGATTTACCTTGAAAACACGGGGTATAATTTAAAAATGTTTCATCAAGTACCATAATGGTAGAATAATTATGTACATTTACATAGCAATAAATATTTATTTTTAATAATAAACCAAATAACAATGAATATAAATTCATCATATAAATGCATATTGTAGCATATTTGAATATACAAAATGTATACTGTTTACATTTTTTAAAATAATCATTATTATGCTGATTATATACAGAATTTATTACATTTTTAACGTGATTATTTTCTCACATCTTTTTATTTAAGATAAGTACAGATAATTGCGTAGATTCTGCGCTTAGATTCCGCATAAAATGTTTAGATACACATGTAATTAATTATAATTATAGAGGGTAATTTTATTTTACTATTTATACACTTTATATTTGGTGAATTAGATTATATTTATTGGATAATTGGAAATAAAATATATGCAATTTAGAACTTTAAAATGTTTAATGAGATATGAAATTAATTACCAATTAAAAAAGTTGCTTTTTAACAATTTTGTTAAAATATTAATTAAAATGTTGTAATTAATACAAAATATTGTGGAATTAAATAATAGGTATAAATACATATAAACGCATTATATTCAGTGAAAATTTTATATTTAATATTTCTAGCATTTTCAACACATACAGTATACTTTATATAATTATTTAAACTTTGTGAAGCATTTAAGTACAGCACTTATAATAATAAAATAATTGCATAATTGTCATTAAACTAATAATGTGTGTGTGACATAAAAATTGTCTGACTTGATATTTTAATTTATTTTCTTGGATATTATCCATTCTCAAACACGTGACCATTAAATAAATATTGGATTTAAATATTAATAACATTATACATACAGAATGAAACAATTTATATATAACATTATTAAATATTATAACAAATAAAATATTAATTACAATTTTATATTTAAACAAAATCCCAACAAAACCGTTAGCAATAAACAATAATAATAAAATTTTAAATGCAAATTAAACAATTTAATTTTAATATTGATATAAAAAATAAATTATCAAAATATATTAACAATGTAATCTAATTAATTTTATTAAATACCAAGATAATAAAATCTATAGATTCCTGTGACCCCAAAAAGTGCCACACGGCATAAATGCGCTGATCCGTAATTTATCACAAACTAGATTATAATATACAAATAGGGAAGCGAGTTTGAACAAACCGTAATACATTAATAATTCTTGAGTGTCCGAACTAAACAACAATTTTGAATCTTTAAGTAACAATTCTACCAAGGCCAATATCCAAGACACCAGTGCCCCGACAAATGTATATACAAAGCACTCATAATAAGCCACGTATATGAAATATAAATGTACCGGAATCATTATGGCGGCAAATATTTTACAGGGCCAAATAGCTGTGAATAATACAATTTCAAATAAATAGAAATTAATTATAAGTTTATCTAGTTAAAATTATTTACCTTGAATATATGGAGATTCATTTAAAAATATCTCTTCTAGGACCACCATGGTAGTATAACTATCTGATCTTATTATGCGCCGGTGAATATTTAATGTAAAAAACAAACCAGATAACAATGAATATAAATGTACAATGTATATAAAAATTGCCACATATTTAAATATACATAACGTATAATGTTTACATTTAGTACAACAATTATTACTGTTATGATTATATACAGAATTTAATAAATCGTTAGCATTATTATTGTTTGACATCTTGCTATTTAATAATAACAATGTTAAGCAATGGCTAAATTGTTGTGTTATTTTGTGATTGCATTGCATAGACGTAATGTAAATTTGCGTTTGCGTGAAACGGGCCATAAATTATTGATTAAATAAGTTGTTTAAAAATGTTTAGAGTGTAGACAATATACCACTTATACACGTCTAAAAACTGTAGTTTTGAGTCTAGTTTTAAGTATCTAAATCTACATATAATAACTATTAACTAACAAATTTATAAAACTAAATATTTAAAGCTTAATTAGTTAGCTTAAAAGTTTTAGCTAGATTTGAAGTTTTATATCTAATTAAAATATTTTATACTAACTCTCAAATTTAATACAAGTGGATAAAGTATAATAAAACCAAAGTATTGTTCTCTAGTTGCTACATTAATTTACATAATTATATAAATTTAAATAATTAGATGAATAAATAAAAAACCTTTTATATAATAATTAATGTCATTAAATAAACATTTTATTTTATTAATAAATTAAATGTAAAACTATTAAACTTACAGTATATCTCTTTACTGTAAATAGTTATAATATTTAATAAATAATATATCATGGTATAGATTTAATTAATATATAAAATAGTTTAAAATAAACAAAAGCCATATTCAAATTAAATATCCAGCTAGCTAAACAACAACAGCAAAAATAAGCAAAATCATTTACAAAATAAAAATTGGCAATTTATCACACGAGAAATACGGTATAAGTTAAAGTCAAGTTTATATACACAACAATTCATAGCAAAATAATAATATTTCAAATAAGCATTTACATAATTGTAAAATTCTACATAAACATTAATTAAAATTTACAACAATTTAAACTCATATTTAGACATTTACAACAATAATAAATATAGAATTATTAAGTTACTAGTTTATGGCAACCTGGCTGTATTTATATGCTCTGTGAGGCATATATCCACCGTATCATCCCTGGTATATCCAACTGATTGCTGACAGGTTTGGGTTGTTTTTAATTGTCGGTCAATGAGATAGGCGTATATGAGGGCCATAACGGCTGGCAATAATATCCCAATAATTGCGCGCATTTCTATTTCTCCCATCATTAAATATGTGACCAAGAGCATTATTAATAACATAGCTACAACCAGACATTGTTTAGGCCACTCGTGGTAAGTTACCACAAGGAAATACATCAACATGGTAATTGTTGCCACGCATATGGTTACATACATTATTGGTCCTTAATAAAGTTTAAAAAGTATATATTTTATTATGTACATCTATTATGTATATTTAATTATATTATTTTATTATTTTTATCATGATAAATGATGATATTTTACATAGTCAATAAAAATACCTAGCTTGTCAATCAGTTGGCAGGTTTTGTCAATCCTATGATCTGTGTAGATATCATAATTATACCAAGGGAGAGTAACACTTTTACCTCGACGATAATGCATCATACCGAGACCAATGCTGATAAAAACAGCTATAATCTCGGTCAAATACATGATGATAAGAAAATATTTTATTACGAGATGAATAAATTTCAATTTGTCCGACATGTTTATTACACAAAGAGACTATTAGTAAAGTAAACTTTTAACAATATAATTAATATTGTAGGTATTGTTTAAAACCTGAAACCTTATAAAAATATACATTAATTAACAGTATATGCAAAACAATTGTGTAGCGATTCTGCGCTCAGATTCTGATGAATAAATATGAATTTAAAACAGTCATATAAACCACAATTAATTAATTATATTTTATATATAATATTGCGCAACATTTTAGGCCCAGTGTATGCCTATGAGCAATATAATTACATTTCATTAATTTATTTTAGTTATTAGTTTACAGTTCAAATTTGTAACAATTTTGCATATGTGTTGTACTCAACATTGATAATGTTATTTCAATGGGATAAACCTTTTTTGTGTAGACTTTATAAAAAAAAGTCTATTTGAAGTTTATTAAATTTTATTTGATTGGTTTTTAAAATACCATTAGAATTGTTACCAAATAATAACATTGAAAAATTTAATGCATATCACGAATGGAAGTTAATTTATCGTATTGCTTTGAAATCATTGTTAAATTTTAAATGTGAAAATAACATTCATTTATTTTGAAATGATAATATTTTAGTATTATTGAAATAGAAATATAGTGTATTATAAATTGTATAACCAACATGGTAAATAGTAACGAGAATTTTTATTATCAATTACTTACAACATTTATAAATATAAAATAGGAAAATTATAAAAACATTTTAATATAATTAAAATTAATTAAGCTTTAAGCATAAACACTAAATTCTAAGCTCCATGTAGACAAGCAGGGTTATATAAGAAAATTCATTATGGCATGGCCTGCGTACCAGATAGTGGCAAACTAGGTTCATTTAAATCCTGAATCAACCATCTATCCACGATACCATCACTGTCCAAGTTTATATACCCCTCTGCTTGCGAATAATCTTGTGTCAAATTTGGTTTCCAGTTAATTAGATAGGCGTATATCGGGGTCATAATGGGCGGCATGATAATTAATACTAATACACACACATCTATCCAACTTGTTACTCCATGTGCAATCAAAATGGTAATAAATGCGAGTAAATACAGCATTGACAACGTGGCGACCACGATACTATATTGAGGCCACTCATTGTAGATCACCACCAAGAAGTAGACCAGCATGGTCATGATTGCTACGTTTAAAATTCCATAAAGGTCACTGACTGTGTTTTGATAAATTGTAAGATTTATTATACAACAATTTATTAATAATTATATTAATTATTGTAATGAATTATGTAGCATGCACTATTGATAATCATTTTATACAGTTTATATAATTTATTACTGTTATATTAATGAAAAATAATCATGTTAAATAATTTTATAATTACCTAGAGTTTCACCCCCACTGCTGTCACGATCTGTATTGTCACTAAAATATAATGTAGGTCCAAAAACCAGAAGGAGCAGGGCCAAAACAAGTTGGATCACGTAAATGACTATAAGTAAATACTTCAGAATAAGTCGAAAAATGCTTAATTTATTAGCCATGATTGATTGACTACGTTGCAAAAGTGATTTTAGTGACTATTTATAGTCTATGTGCAAATACTTATTAGACAATTACATAGATTCTGCGCCTAAATTCTTGGTAATATAAAATCTTATGTTATTAGGCACATTGTTTTAACGATTCAAACAGGATAACAATTAGTGACAGACACATGAATAATTACATTTGATCTTAAGAGAGTCTAACCACCAGATTCTCAGCGCACAAACTCGTTTCACTTATTTCCGGTGGTAGACATACATGTAGTTCATGTGTGCCATCACTGTTGTCATCCCTAATACACCCGACTGTTTGATGGCAATCCCTGTCCGACTTTAATTTCAGTTCAATGAGGTAGGCGTATATTAACGCTGTAATTGATATCTGCAAAATGCCGACAGCTGTACCCACTTCATAGTAGCCAATTATTGAATAAACGACCGTGAGCATTAACAAAAACAGTGGAGCCCAAAGTACTTGCTTAGTCCAGTCGCAGCAAGTTACAACCAGGAAATATATCATTGTGAACAAGATTAGCACGTTTATTGCCACATACAATTCTTTTACTGTAACAAGCAAAATTAAATTTAATATAATTTATGTAAACATTAAGGCAAAATTTTTATAATAATATAAAAAATATTATTTATTTAAATTGTAACATTAGGGTTAATTAGGTATTTTGCATTTAAACCTACTATAATTGTGCTTGAATTCGCGTATGTCATATATCTGACCATGATTATTATATATGGTGATTCCGATCACATTAGCAAAAGTAAATATAATCTGGCGCACATATGAAACAATGAGAAAATATTTCACACACCGGCGAGCAAATTGTTTCTTGTCTAGCATTTTGTTAATTTACCATGGTAATTTTTATATTAAATTTAAATTTATTTCAAATATATGTTTGCGAGTTGTTATTATAAAACACTAATCAATAAATGTGTTGATTCTGCGCCCAAATTCCGTCACACATTGTATATCAAAACAAACTCATAACAGTCTGATTATTTTTGTAACTATTGTTTAAAACTTGAATCCTCATAAAAATATTAATTAATTAACAGTATATGCAAAATAATTGTGCAGCGATTCTGCGCTCAGATTGTGATAAAAAATATGAATTTATAATAGCCACATAAACCACGATTAATTAATTAGATTTTATATAAGATTTACTTGTAGGTCCCAGTGTATGACTATGAGCATTATAATTATATTCTACTAGTTTAGAGGAAGGTAAATAAAATAACAGCAATACATTGACATGTCATATAAATTTATACAAACAACTGTAAAAGATTAATCATTAATTAAATAATATAATTAAAACAACAATGTTATAATTTTAATGATCATTTTACTGGTCAGAATTTACTTTTTAATTATTAAAAACATAACAATCTATATAATAAAAAATAGTAAAATAAAAATTTATAAAAATTAAAATAACATAGGTGATTTGCACAAACGTGCATAATTGCAGATTTTAAGGTAGTCTAACCATGAGATTCTCTGGACACAAGCTCGTTTCATTTATTACTGGTGGTAAACATACATATAAATCACATGTGCCATCATTGTTGCCATCCCTAAGACACCTAACTGTTTGCAGGCAATCCCTGTTTGACTTTAATTTGAGTCCAATCAGGTAGGCGTGTATTACAGCCGTAATTGTTATCTGCAATATACCGATAGCTGTGCCCACTTCGTAGTAACCAATTATTAAATAAACGACCATGAGCATTAATAAAAACAGTGGAGCCCAAAGTACTTGCTTAGTCCAGTCGCAGCAAGTTACAACCAGGAAATACATCATTACAACCATGATAAGCACGTTTATTGCCACATACAATTCTTTTACTGTAACATGCAAAATCCAATTTACTATTATTCATGTTAAGATCATACCAAAATTTTGTAATAATATTATTTATTTAAATTGTAACATTACGATTAATTAGGTATTTCTCATATAAACTTACTATAAATGTGCTTGAATTCGCGTATGTCATATATCTGACCACGATTATTATATATGGTACTTCCAATCACGTTAGCAAGCGTAAATATAATTTGGCGCACATATGAAACAATGAGAAAATATTTCACACACCGGCGAGCAAATTGTTTTTTGTCCAACATTTTGTTCATTGACCATGGTAATTTTTATAATAAATTTTAATTTATTTTAAATCTATGTTTGGTAGTTGTTATTATATAACACAGATCAATAAATGTGTTGATTCTGCGCCCAAATTCCAGCACATATTGTATATAACTTACATAATATAAGTGTCAAGTTCAAGGTTATTTTTGTTGTTTTTATTTTGTACTAATTAAATTAATTTATGCAAATACAAATGACAGATTAATATAATTATATGTATCAAGATAAAAATATTTACGTTATTAAATTTATATAAATAGATAATCTACATAAAATATTAATAGTAAATGAGTTAATACAACATGAGCTTACTCTTTATATTTATTTTTAGAATTTTAAATAAACAAATATAAAAATTTGTAAAAAGCTATAATAATTTAAAATAAATTCATGCAAATTATAAACTTAATTGTGGTGACAATATTAATACCATTATTTAACAAACAATCGTACTGATTTTAAATGGTAACATAGTTTACATAGAATATTATACTTTATATTTGTAAGATAACAATAAGAAATATTTTCTTTAGCTTTTACAAAACAACAATTTATTTATACAATAATTAGCAAATCTTACAAATCAAATCTACAAATTTGGTGCATGTGGTCAGTATAATCATGGTCAGATTGGTAAACATCCTACGGTCATATATTACAATTATAGTAAATCCAGCTAACTTGATACAATTTCCGGCTGATTAGTAGGTAATGTATCATTTAAAATAATAAATCTACCAAATTCTTCTGGGTTAAACCATGATTTTTTATTAACTAGATAGGCGTATATCGGGGACATAATTGCCGGCAAGAGTATTAATATAACTACAACTACATCTACCATACTTGTTACTCCGCTCACTTTCACCATGATACCAAATATCAAAAAATACCCTTGTGAAAGAATGGCAACCACGATGCAATGTGTAGGCCTCTCCTTATCGATCAACCTTATAAAATAGACCAATGTGACCGAGATCACTGCGAATGCTACCGTACAAACTCCAAGGGCTGTAATGTTATAATTTGTTTAAAAAATTTTATTAACTATTAACTAATAGTGATATTAATTTTGTAAATAGTTGTTTTATATTTTATTTTATTATTTTTTTATTAATTATAAATTTATTAAACTACAGTATATTATAAGTACTAATTTACATATAAATACTACAGTAAACTACAATATGTTATAATTTGCATAAATTAAAACTGTTATAAACAAGAATAATAATTATAGTTACTAATTTTAGAATTACCTATAAGTTGTTGTAATTTGCTTTCTTGAATTGTTACCAGGCTAAAAAACAATATTGGAAGATAAATCGTCCAGAATAGGGCAAATATAAAGTGGACAACGTAAATGAAAATACTTCAAAATATCGCGTAATACAGTAAATTTATTTGCCATGATTAAATGCTATTGTATATGAAGCGCAAATTAATATAATGTACAGTATTTAAAAATTTTAAACAAACTTTATATAAACAATTATAGCTCCGATTCTGCTCTTAAATTCTGGTGTACATCATGTGATACATTAAGGAACGTGAAACAAGGTTTGTATATTAATTTTATAGATTAACTACAATTTGGGAAATGTATTAAAATTTTCAAATATTTTAATGCTAGTAAAAACAATTGTTGAATTTATGAATTTGGTATATTTTTTATCTGTGATCAATTTTCTTTATAATATCTTTATAAAAGTACCCTTTTTATATGTTTAATATTAGTAATAATCCGTAGACTTAGCGTTGTCAATTTAAAGTATAGCTTTAGACTTAAGCTGAAATTCCATGTTAAATTTCATTGGGTAAGGGGGGAAAGTGCTTTGATATATTACAATTTTGATTCTGAATTGTATTTAAAATAGCTTTTAAATGCTTAGCATGATACTTTAATTAGCTAACATTGTGGTGCTTGCGACCTAAACGATATATTTGTTTATTTAATTAATGTAACCATACATGGCTTTTATTGTCAATACAATGTGATAGTTATTATTATTGTTGCAATTCTCTATATTCCTGAGTCTAGAATATTAATTATAATTGTTATGTATATCATAATATGATACATATTATGTATGAATTTGGTTTATTCATGGTAAACACAGTTTGTTTAAAAGAAGTAATTATTTTATTTAGTTGCTAAATACATGTATAATTCTATTAATCATTATATAAATATATAGATATGTATTGTTTACACAATTCTGTAGATTCTGCGCTCAGATTCTGATAAATTTCATAAATAATGTTCAAACCTTAATAACATTACAGTATATAGCAACTAGTTAAATATTGTTTTAAAATATATAAAAAATAAAAGCTCAAAGAATTATCTAAATTAATATTTGTAAAGTAAAATTTAGCATTTATTTTAAACAAATATTGAAACACATTATATGTAGATTCATAGCAAATTAAAAAATATCACAATTATTGGTAAACACCAATTGGGCCTGAATTGCAAAAATAATAAGCACAATACAGATATGCATAGATATACTATTATAACCAGGGTTGACAAGGGACAGTAAATTTGTATTTTTACATTGGCGTGGTTATGGAATCAACAAGGCAATTTTTAGTTATTATAATATAACTTTATACTATAATGTACAAGTATAAATTACATAGCACTTAAATGAGTGTAAATCGGTGTCAACAATGTTAATAGCAATAAATAAATAAAATTACAAACATATGTCAAAATACAATAAAATTACTATGCATTTAAAAATGATTTCTAAAACAATTAAATTTTTAGCATACATTTATGCCAGATTTTGACTGCTATAAGGAGGTAAACCATCATCATTAATATGATGTGGCAAACATAACTCTAGTGTAACATCACTGCCACCATCCCTGGTATACCCGGCTGTTTGCAAACAGTTTTGTCTAGATTTCAATTCCCGGTCAATGAGATAGGCGTATATGAGGGCCATAATGGCTGGCAATAGGATCCCAATAGCAGTGCGCGCGTCAATGTCCCCGATCATTAAATATGCGACCATGAGCAGTATTAATAGGACAGCGACCACGATGCTTTGTTTGGGCCACTCGTAGTAAGTGACCACCACAAAATAGACCATCACTGACATAACCGCTACGCTTATTATAACGTATAATACTGGACCTGTATTTGGATTAATTAAATGTTATAAGCATGTTATTAACATGTTACTTTATGTAATGTAGACTTAGATTTAATATTATTCATTAATTTTAAATATTATGCTAAATAAATGTTTACATTCATAATATACTGTACATTTCATAAATATAACTTATTGATTTATAAATTTATAGAGATATTAATGTAAGTTATTTTAGCTTAATAATAAATGTTTAATATAATAAAATGGTAATAATATACCTAATTTCTCGACCGTCTCGTAAGTCTCGGCCAAGTCTTTGACAGTCTGTAAGTTATGCTCAGATGTTGTGTCAACCAATGTGTGGCCGTAATGATAGTGTACTAAACCGGTAATCATACTCAGCATAGAGAAAATGATCTCGGAGAAATAAGTGACCATAAGAAAATATTTTACCACACGCTTAACAAATTGTAATTTGTCCGACATGTTTGTCTCGAGCACTCATACAGATTACTCGCCTGTATAAAAGTGCTATTATTTTAATTAATTTTATGACTATTTTTGGGTGCGATTCCGTATAAAAAGTTTAATCAATATAACAGTATATGTAAACAAATTCTGTGCCGATTCTGCGCTTAGATTCCGGTGTATATCACTTGATATAATCTAATGGCAAAATAAAGAATTTAATTCAAGGTTGTTTTTGTTTAGATTTTAGTTGTTTGAGCACATGCAACTAAATATTAAATAAGATATTATATAAAGTTTATCATAACTAATAAAGGTAAATAAATGATTGATGTTGTCTATTATTTTACTAATCTCTTTCTATTGCCCTAAACCAGGACGTCCCAAAAGTTGAATAAAAGTTAGGCTTTTCCTATATGCTCCCATAGACAATACATTACAGTTTACCCTCACATTACCCTCATTTACCCGCACTGGGAAACGTTGCCCTAAACCATTGGCATTAAATACAATTATCTCGCGGACAGATTGTGTAAAATGACAGGTTGCATATTTATTGCTTGTGAGTATAGAGAAAATAATATCTGAGAAATAGTTGACCATTAGAACATGTAATTATTAATATACTAATATTTTAATTGATAATCAAACATTTTAAACATTTAGTCTTACATATAGAGTAAAACATATATTATATTAAATATTTAATATAGTGTATAATAAACACAGAAATACATACGTATATAAGTAAAGTACATATTATATTTTACGTTTTATTATGTCTAAATAATATTATGTTTTACAACAAATAAAATATCACAATTATTGTAGCAAGCTAACTTAAGATAGCAATAACAAGAGAAATTAGTAAAATATTTGTATAATTTATAGTATAAAGTTTATACTTTAGGTTTGTACAATATAATAACAATGTACTAAATTATACAATAATTAAGTTTAAAATTTATAAAATGTTGTTAAAATATAGTTTTAAAATGTTGCATGAGCATTAATTAAAATTCAACACAATTTAAGAATCTGTTTCAGGTTTGTTTAAAAAATAATTATTCCGTTGCCTGGCTATTGGATAGCGGCACCATAGGTTCATTTAAATCCTGATAGTTTTGTCTCCATGTCGATTGCCGGTAAACGAGATAGGCGTACATCGGGGTCATAACGGAGGGCATGAGAATAAATATACCCACCACACAATCTATCCAATTAGGTTGGATACCACGACTATTAACCAAAATAGCAACATATACATGTATGAATAAATACACAATCGAAAGTATAGCGGCCACGATGCAATGTTTAGGCCACTCTTTGTATATAGCCATTAAAATGTAGACCAACAAGGTGATGATAGCAATGTGCACAACTACATAAAATCCGATGCCTGTTATAAATTGTAAAATAACAATTATATTAATTTTGTAGAAAGTTATGTAAAGTTTATGTAAGTTATGTAAGTTTAGCTTAAGCAAACTATTCAATTTATTTACAATTAATAATCACTAATTAAATAAAATGTAGTTTACTCAGTTTAATACTGATATTGTTTTATGATACAATATTTTCAAAAAGAATAATCAATTTAAATAATTTTATAATTACCTAGAAGTTTAATCCCACTATGGTTATTACTATTGCTAAAATATAATATAGGACCATAAACCATCAACATAAAGGCAATAATAAGCTGGATCAAGTAAATGACCATGAGTGAATACTTCAGAATGAGTTGTACAATATTTAATCTATTCGCCATGATTGTTTGACTGATAAGTGAGATGTAAAAGTAATTTTTTGCGACTATGTACATGGAAAGTTTTATTCAACAATTCTGTAGATTCTGCGCTTAGATTGATATAAATAAATATAATCTCGGACAAATAGTTTATGGCTTGAACATATTTTATTTCAGTCCAATTGATTTCATATGTTTTAACTGTAGTTTTCTGTATAAGTCTTACAAGTATTAGAAGTTTTTTGTATTATAAAGTTCTACATAAGAAACTTTTAGTTACAGATTGAAACTATTATAACAAGTACAACAATCAAGGTAAATAATTTTACCATTAGCTAGTCTATTACCAGTTGGTGTTTCATTGTAAAGTTCAAATTTATGGGTGGTAGTTATTGGTCGATACCGGTAATAATTGACAATACTAATAGCCATTGTGATTAAAGTGATATTAATCTGTACAACGTAAATAACCAAGCTAAAACATTTTGAAATAAGTTGGAAAATGTTTGGCTTATTCGCCATGATTGTAAAAGTGCTTTTCTAAATTAATTATGGATAATATTAATTTTATTAATTAAACAATTCTACAGATTCTGTGCTTAAATAATACATTATTTATATTATGCTATAAAAGTTAATCTTAAGCAAACAATGTTGTTGTTTTTGTTTAAACATGTTTAAGTGCGAATTTATCAAAAATGTTCATTGCATTGTATATTTATATTGCAAAATACAGTATTGTAACAAATAAAAATATCACAATAATTAAAAGCATAATTAATACAATCTGTGCATAAGTGTAGCATATTATAAAATATCATAATATATGCATTTAAATAAAAATGTTTAGTTAATGTAAAAATATCGCAAAATTAAGCAGTAATTACAAATAAAATAGGCAGATATTTTTGCGCATATACAGTACTTTATCTTGAATTACAATCAGGATAGAATTTTTGCAAACCCTTATACCATGTTACTATTATTGCTGTAAGGTGGTAAACTTGCTCCACTTATCATTTGTGCCAAACATAGTGTATCAATACTATTGTTATCGGTATTATTTCCCGGTGTATGCCGGTTAGTTTGGTTTGACCATGATTGCTGATTAATTAGATAAGCATAAATTAGTGCAGTAATGTTGTGCAAAATAATCCCAATAAATGTACGCAATTCATAATTTCCAGTTAGCAGATACGTGACCGAGATTAGCATCGTGAACGCTGCAACCATGGTACATTGTTTAGGCCATTCATAGTAGGTAACCGCCAAAAAATAAAACAATATGAGCATAACTATTAAGCTAATCACCACATATAATACAGGACCTGTATATGTAAATTTGTTTTTTTAAATTATAAAACATTTCATCATGTAGTTAATAATTAAGTATGCATAATTTATTAATTGTTCATGATAAACAAAATATCTCTTTACTAATATTGGTACACTTACCTAGATTTACAATTTGTTCATAAGCCTCGGCCAAAACATCTGTTGTTTTGATGGCGTGATTATACTCATTGTTGGCAACAATTGTATTGACTCGATAATATAGCACCATGCTGGCTATCGTAGTGATCAGGGTGAACATAATTTCCGATGTATAAATGAACGTGAGCAAAAACTTTAAAATACTCTGAATAAAATTTAAATTATTCGACATGGTTGCCAGACGTGCGATGTAATAACCATAAGCTTTATAATTAATTACATGTAGCTATTTATGGGCGCGATTAACCATAAAACTAAATATTTATTATAATTTACACAAGTCTACAGATTCTGCGTTTAAATTCTTGCATATATTATGTATTATAAGCCAACAAATAGAAGCATAATTAAATGTCTTTTATAACTAATAATTAAATCGTAATTATAACTAATTAATTGATAATAATTAATAGTTTATTAAAAATTACAACAATGTATATTTAATTACAATTAATAATTTGACATAAAATAAATTTTTGATCATAGAAAATTTAAGACGACCAAGATTGTCCTATTATTTATAGCAATAATTACAATATACTGTATAATACATTAAATAAAAATATATACTCATGTGTACATAATAATAATTAGCAACATTGCAAACTAATGCTAAATTCAGCTTGCATGTATTTATTATATTAAATTATCATTATATTTAAATTATCAACTATGTTATATTATAATTGTTGTAAGCCTTTAAGCAACTAGCAATTATTATTGGTTGTCCCAAAAAATAGTCGACCATCTCTAACAATATATGCGGCGGCCGTTGTCGTTTGGTTTGACCACAATTTTCTATTAACCAAATAGGCGTATATTACACTCATAATAGCCGGTAGTATTCTGAGTATAAACATGGAAACGGCACACCGTAAACTGCCCACAACCCGGTCATTGGCACATAATTCAATATATACTATCAAAACGAGCGCATATACAATAAATATTGAAATCATGGCGACCGCGATGCAATGCGCGGGCCATTCTTTGTAGGTTACCACCAGGAAGTAGATTATCATAGTTAAATATATCACGTTTACTACGACAAAAGATGCCACACCTGTAATGTGGTTATAATTTGTAAGCTTGTTAATTGTCTTATATATTATAATAACAATTATATACAATAAATTAATGATAGATATTGCACATAATATTATATAGTACATACATTTAGATAAATCTCGTTTTAAGTTATTGTTCATGCACAATTCATCCAATTGAACATTGAATACATAATGATTTATTATAAGCTAAAATTTGTTTAAATTTTTACATATTTTTAAACTCACACAAAATATAATTAATTAATATAACATATATTATAATTATATTTAACTAACCGTATGTAAATTGCATACTTTCGTAACACATTGTAGCAATATAAAATAGATTAATACTATTAATAATAGTATATTATATTTGAACAAAATTATCATGGCAAATAAAGTACTTACCATATAGTAGATTAGTTTTGGCCAGGTTAGAGTGTCCATTATTTGCGTATATATGTAGCAATTGTAATAATGACCATCGGCCATAAAGTTGCAGAGTATCAAACATATAGCGAATAATAAACAATGACTGGATCACATAACTGACCATGAGATAGAATTTCAGGGTGAATTTAATAATATTTAATTTATTTTCCATGACTGACAAAAATGTATAAATGATTTTTGCAAAACTGACTATGTAACTATTTATGGACAATATTCTGTTTATATAAACAATTGTGTAGATTCTGCGCCTAAATTCTATTTGATATAATACATTCAAAAGTAGATTTAAACTAATCAATGT